TACACTCTGTGGAGGATTCGGTAGAGTAAACTTTTGATGTGTAATATATATGTGTTCTCGATTTAAAAAAAAAATCCAATTTGTTGTAAACTTCGATCGGCTAAAGTTATCCAGAGTATTGTGCCAATACCAATATTTGATTTAACATTTCGCTCAAGCCCAAAAGATTTGCCACTCACTTCACTTCTCTAATCTCTCACTTGATCACTCATTTATTTCTATGTTTGCCCCAAAAAAAAGACAAATCCCAATGAAAAACCTCAGAGCTTAGAACTCTCTCCACTCTTAAAAAAAAAAATCTGTAAAGGAGAAGAAAGCAAAACAAAAATTCGAATAGATCAAAAAACAAATATACTATGTGGAAGATTCGGTAGAGAAAACTTTTGATGTGTAATATATATGTGTTCTTGATTTAAAAAAAAATCCATTTTTTTTAAATTCAATGGGCTAAAGTTATACAGAGTATTGTGTCCAATACCAATATTTGATTTAACATTTCGCTCAAGCCCAAAAGATTTGCCACTCACTTCACTTCTCTAATCTCTCTCTTGATCACTCATTTATTTCTATGTTTGCCCCAAAAATAAAGAACAATTCCAATGAAAAATCTCAGAGCATAGAACACTCTCTCCACTCTCAAAAGAAAATGAATATGTGAAGGAGAAGAAAGCAAATCAAAAATTTGAATAGATCGAAAAACTGATACATTCTATGGAGAATTCGGTAGAGAGAACTTTTGATGTGTAATATATATGTGTTCTCGATTTAAAAAAAAAATCCAATTTGTTTTATACTTAGATGGGCTAAATTTATACAGAGTATTGTGCCTAATACCAATATGTGATTTAACATTTCGCTCAAGCCCAAAAGATTTGCCACTCACTTCACTTCTCTAATCTCTCACTTGATCACTCATTTATTTCTATGTTTGCCCCAAAAAAAAGACAAATCCCAATGAAAAACCTCAGAGCTTAGAACTCTCTCCACTCTTAAAAAAAAAAATCTGTAAAGGAGAAGAAAGCAAAACAAAAATTCGAATAGATCAAAAAACAAATATACTATGTGGAAGATTCGGTAGAGAAAACTTTTGATGTGTAATATATATGTGTTTTCGATTTAAAAAAAAAATCCAATTTGTTTTAAAGTTCGATGGGCTAAAATTATACATAGTATTGTGGCTAATAACAATATTTGATTTAACATTTCGCTCAAGCTCAAAAGATTTGTCACTCACTTTACTTCTATAATCTCTTGCTTGAGCACTCATTTTTTTTCTGTTTTGTTTTCCCGAAAAAAAAGACAAATCCCAATGAAAAATCTCCGAGCTTAGAATTCTATCCACTCTAAAAAAAAAATGAATCTGTAATGGGGAAGAAAGCAAAACAAAAATTTGAATAGATAGAAAAACAAATACACTTTATGGAGAATTCAGTAGAGAAAACTTTTGATGTGTAATATATATGTGTTCTCAATTTAAAAAAATCTAATTTGTTTTAAATTTCAATCAACTAAATTTATAAAGAGTATTGTGCCCAATACCAATATTTGATTTAACATTTCTCTCAACTTAAAAGATTTGCCATTCACTTCACTTCTCTAATCTAAGCTCTCGCTTGATCATTCATTTATTTCTATGTTTTTCCCAAAAAAGAGACAATTTCCAATGAAAAATCTCAGAGCTTAGAATCTCCGATCATATATGCGCTCGCTAAATTAGTGTTTGAGAGAGAATAAAATTTACTTTTGTTGTGAAAAAAGTAAACAAATATCGAAATTGGAGAGGGGACCTGAGTACTATCTTTAAGCAAACTTTAATACATTATACATGTAAAACGTTAAAAATTTTGTAGCACAATTGGTCGTGCACTGGGAACTAACATGCCTTTAATATGGGTTCGAGATAAAATAAAATCCTAGATCCGTAGGCCAAATATATGGAAATGCACAATTTTTGATCTAGATAAAATAAAATCCTGGATTGGCCAGGCCAAGTATATGGAAAGCTTCATTGATTGAAACACACGACTAGTAACAAAAGTAAGCTTCACTGATATATGTTTTAGATTTCGTTGACATATTATCAATCAAATCTAAAATAAAATCATGGGTCCGTAGCTTCATTCATCATTATTTGATTTATATATGTTCCGGATTTCAAAATATTCAGTTTGTTTTAAAACTTTGATGAGCTATGTTGGGCCCAATACTAATATTCAATTTGTTTTAAAACTTTGATGAGCTATGAGCTATGTTGCTTCACTCACTTCACTTTTCAATCTCACTTGATCACTGTTTAGTGTTTTTCC